AGTAGTTTCTACCACCTTCTGATCCTGGAGCAGGACGTCCCAACCAACAGCTAATACCTTCCCACAGGGGACTTGATGTGCCCACCCTCTCTAAGGAGTGGTTCCCATTTTATCTACTCGCTGAGGCTTTCGAATCGCTGGGTGGATGATGAGCTGGGGACAACAGGCTGGCTGCTCACACCAGCGTGGGGCTCGAACTGACACAGTTCGGATGTTAAGACAGTGGGATATACCCACTGTGCCACCGTACAAAACAACTCTGCAAGCAGGCTGCAAGGAGTGAAGAGACACACACAATCAGGTTACATATTCACTAAGGGTTGGGGGGGGCTGCTAACAGCAAAACAGTGAGAAAAAAGTATCTGGATGAAGACCATTATTTAACATTCTTTCATGTTCTGCTTCAAGCCTCCTGAGACAGTACCACAAGAAATTTACAGTGCAATCCTAAACAGAGCTACACTTCCTAAATAAACTGCAGTCCATGGGCTCAGGAGGGTGTAAATCTGTTTACAACTGCACTGTTAATTTATGCCACTGTGATAGTGCTAGTAGAGGTTTATGCTTCACTAAGTAATACAGTATCCTACCCAGACAAACTCCAGTTCAGAGCTCTGTTAAGTAGTTAAACAGCTATTCAAAGCAGCAGCCTTCGAAAGAAGGGGTTTATAGAAAAGCCCTAAGGATCAGGTGGCTGTCATCTTCATCCACCCAAGAACTGTTGCACAGCAGAGCTGCTCTATCTGGTTTCCCAAGAGAATTGGGGTCCATCCGATCTTGCATCTGCACGCAAAACAGTTAAATCTAAAGAAGTCTGAATAATTATAGAAAATGTTACAAGACTACTGATAACTGCAAAATACTGCATGCTAAAAAATAATTTCAGCTATATTTACAAACTGCTTGGGTCCAAAATGGCTGGCAGTTTAAATTAAGAAAGAGATCAATGAGGTTTTTTTACTATTCAGTCCACCGCAGGCAACCAAATATGAATCAGAATTCTAGGGACAATAACACCTGGTAAAATGAAACAATGCAGGTATATGTTTATTATGCTGTGTTTGTATTCAGAGCTGCATTCTGTTTACTCCGTCTCTAAAAAGTACACAAGGTTGAATCCCACTAGTCTGCTCAGTTAGGTGAAAAACCTTTCCTTGGCACAAGGAGCCAATCTCTGCAGGAAAAGCCTCTTCACAGTGCAGTAAGATCCAACCCACAGTGACCAAAAGCTTTTTAGAAAGGTGCATAAAAATAATATGAGAATACCATTTTCTGCATATTGAAAGGCAGAATGACCTTTAAAATCCCAGGAGAACTATTCAAATAAAATGGCAGTCCTATGCATAATTCTCATTGACTTCAGATGGACTTAACTTCCAACTATATTTGAATAAATTAGGTTGTGTGGCTCCAATCCTATGCACACTTACTATGCAGTAAGTACCATGGAACATGATAGGCGTTACTTTCGAACAAACTTACTTAGGCTCCCCCTGAATGACTGTGAGATGGACACTTTATATTAACACAGCGATCAGTTTAAATTCCTGTACATATGTGCTACAGCAGCAGTGAAGAAATCATTCCCCCACAAGTAGTTGTTGGCCTATAGCAGGGGTGGCCAGACCTGCTTAACGTAAGAGCCACACAGAATAAACGTCAGATGTTTGAGAGCCACAAGACATGAACAAATATTACACACATGTTTTCATTGGAAAATATGCAAATTTGCTTTTTATTAATATTAAATGAGACTGCCAGAAATAAAAACAAAAGGGGTAAAAACAGATATTGATAATGATATTTATCCAATAATATTTGTAGGCTTGGGGGGGGGCTTTGAGAATGCATTTAAAGTTAGTTGCTTTCTTTCTCTGCCCCCCCCCCATTTCAAGCCTACGCAGGGAGGGGAACACTGGCTGGGGAAGGCAAGATCAATTGAGGAGGCATGCCTCCCCTTCACTTCCCCAGCCGCCCTGCCGGGAGCCACACAATATGCATGAAAGAGTCGCATGTGGCTCCTGAGCCACAGTTTGACCACCCCTGTTGTATAGCTAGGGCTGCCAATTCCCCCTGGGGGGCGGGGATTCCCCTGCCAAAAGGGCCCCCAATCCGCCGGTCCGGATCCGGTCGGTGGAGGAAACCCTACCCCCGAAGTGGCCAGATTAGGCCAACGTGCCCAGCATAATGATGTCACCCAAAAGTGACGTAATCATGCTGGGCACGTCGCGGGGCGACACTCTAGCAATCACCCTGAAAACTCTATGGTACCATAGAGTTTTTAGGGCGATTGCTAGAGCATCACTCTGTGACGTGCCCAGCATGATTATGTCACTTCAGGCCGACGTCATTGTGGCGCGCACACAAAGCGCACACGCGAAACTCCCAGACCAGGAATGGGTAATCCCCCCCCCCCCGGTATTGCAGATAAGAGACTTGGCAACCCTACATATAGCATTAGCGTAGCCAATTCTCAAATTCACAGAGAAGAGAAAGAGCAGCAGATGTTAATCATGACAATTCACATAACCTACCCAGGCTACAAACCTATGACATTTATCCCAGTGAACTTATCCATTGAACTTATTTCTGAGTAGATGTATTTTTGACTGGTGCATACTCACACCTGACCTCTGAGTCCTCTCCCTCACATCATGTCCTCTGATGTCTTCCACTCTCTACTGCAACCAAATTAGATGGTCAAGAAACTGTTTGTATATAAGCTGCTTGTTGTTAGAAGTCAATTATGGACACTTTGGACAAGTGTTACTAAGTGATACTAAGGTGAGTCACATCTGACAATATCCAAGCTGTGGCAAACGTGGTTACAAAGTGCAGACCTTAAGAGGCTCTAATAGCTTTAAGAGTTGCAAAGATGGAAAAAAATCTCCCCTTTTCAAGTTCTTCTATCTAGTAAGGTTTACTGTTCCATGTTCAGGGTGTGGACATTCATTCTAGTGGCTGAGACTCTTGGAAAGACAAATAGTGAAGTTTAACATTCAGACAGGTGCAGGAACTGAGGAGACCCCCACAACTCACATTTGACTGTTATGTAGGACACAAGGTGGGGGATCCTGGACCCAATGCAAGTACACCGTAATGTGTAAAGGGGAATAATGGAGACTACGCTTGCCCATAGGGAATAATGGACACCACTCTTGCCTATAGGGAATAATGGAAAGTATGCTTGCCTATAGGGAATAATGGAAAGCACGTTTGCCCATAGGGAATAATGGAAACCACGCTTGCCCATAGAGAATGATTGCCAACACTCTTGCCCAGAGGGAATACTGGAAAGGACGCTTGCCCGTAGGGAATAATGGAAAGCACGCTTGCCCATAGGGTATAATGGATTCCACCCTTGCCCATTGGGAATAATGGAAAGCACGCTTGCCCATAGAGATTACTGGAAAGCAAATTTGCCCATAGAGAATAATGGAAAGCAGGCTTACCCATAAGGAATAATGGACACCACACTTGCCCATAGAGAATAATGGAAAGCACGCTTGCCCATAGGGAATAATGGAAAGCATACTTGCCCATAGACAATAATGGAAAGCACGCTTGCCCATAGGGAATAATGGAAAGCATGCTTGCCCATAGGGAATAATAGAAAGCACACTTGCCCATAGAGATTTTAATGGAAAGCAAGTTTGCCAATAGAGAATAATGGAAAGCACACTTGCCCATAGGGAATAATGGAAAGCATGCTTGCCCATAGGGAATAATAGAAAGCATGCTTGCTCATAGGGAATAATGGAAAGCACATTTGCCCATAGGGAATAATGGAAAGCACACTTGCCCATAGAGAATAATGGAAAGCACGCTTGCCCATTGGGAATAAAGGACATCACACGCAAGAGGTCATTCCGGCTCTCCCAGCTCTCGGGAGGGGCTCTTTAAAAAGTTATGGCCGCTGCCGCTGTTCTCGCAGCTGCAATGCCCACACGGGGGGAGGGGCGGGGCGAAACGTTCCCTTGCCTCCCTGAGTCCCGGGCTGGTGGCCTAGGACTCGTAGTGGCAAATTCCACCTCTCACGTGTGATGTCCGAGTGGCAACAGACATCACATGCGAGAGGTCATTCTGATTCTCCCAGCTCTCGGGAGGGCTCTTTAAAAAGTTATGGCCTCTGCCACTGTTCTCCGCGGCAGCTGCAATGCCCGCGTGGGGGGAGGGGAGGGGCGAAATGTTTCCTTGCCTCCCTGAGCCCCAGGGTGGTGGCCTTGGACTTGTAGGGGCAAATTCCACCTCTCACGTGTGATGTCCGAGTGGCAACAGACATCACATGCGAGAGGTCATTCTGATTCTCCCAGCTCTCGGGAGGGGCTCTTAAAAAAGTTATGGCCGCCGCCGTTCTCCCAGCAGCTGCGACGCCCGCGCAGGGGAAGGGGCGGGGCGAAACGTTCCCTTGCTTCTTTGAGCACCGGGGTGGTGGCCTTGGACTCGTAGGGGCAAATGTGGTCTCAGAGAGGTAATTCTGGCTCCCCCAGCTCTCCTTAGGGCCTCTTTAAAAAGTTATGGCTGCCGCCACTGTCGGCAGTAGCTGTATTGGCAATCATGGATTCTCTCTTGGCAATTATGTACTGCAGTATCCCCTCTGGCCAAGCCTACTCTCCATTATTCTCTATGGGCACTCATGTATACCCTACAGGCAATCGCTGTCCTTAGTTTTAGTATGTCCCGCTTTGTGAGCTACTGGCATTGAAGTTGTGAGGAGCGAATTGGCTGCTGCATGATTTAGTATGCCCTGGAGCCATCCTTCCTGAGCTAAGATTGTGTGAGCCAGAGGCTAAAAAAACCTGTGAGCTAGCTCACACTAACTCAGCTTAGAGGAAACATCGGTTGGGAATCCAACGTTCCATTTGGACGTGACTGGCTATAAAAACGACAGGAAGACACGAGAATGGATATATCCGGAAACCTCGCGATAAATCAGTCACTCGGGACGCGGTTCGGGAATTGAACGAACGAGTCTGTCAGAGGGAGCGGCGTCTTTCTCGCGTGACGTATTTGCCAGTCGTTCTCTCCCTTGCGTGGCGTACGTGCCCGGAAGTAGCTGCGGCAGGCACGCGGAGAGCGCCTGAGTGGAGCAGAGAGAGTGGGGCGCCTTTTGTGTGTGTGTGTGTGTGAGACTTGAAAGAGGCAAACGGGGGAGGGGAATAGCTGTGCCCAGTAGTACGGGAGCCTCTAAAGGACAAACTTAATTTTTTTTTAAAAGAGCGCTGGCCAAGTTTGTTGCTGTGTCTGGCAAGATGCCCGGCATTGCTGCCCCTAAGAACCAGGAACGGAATCGTGGACGGAATCGTGACAACGCCATGGAGCCCCCGCCGGCTGATGTGGGTCTCTGGAGGAGGAAGGGAGGGAGGGGGGGTGTATTATATTATTGGGAGGGGTTGTCACCGTCCGTCTAAAGGCCGAGCGTTTGGAGAGGAGGAGCCGCTTGTCCCTTGTCTTTTCTCCCCTGACTACCATCTTTCCTCTTTTCACACACACACTCCAGACGGATTCCCCTGCAAAAGTCAAATCTGCTTTTGACATGGCTTGCAGTGTTGTCGGTTATTCCCTGTGACTCTGTCCCTGGACTGTTCTGTTTTATTATTATTATTATTATTATTATTATTATTATTAAGCTTTTTATCCCGCCCTCCCGCCGAAGCGGCTCAGGGCGTCTTGTCACCGGTCTTCAAATTTGATTAGAAAATCTCACTGAATGTTTCTCTAATGAGATCCGACTCCCACCCCCTGCCCTGCTTTCTATGCTTTCAAGGCCAGAAATGAATGGCTGGGGGTTTTATTAAGAGAACTGAAAGTAGTTTTGACAGAGGTTGTGCTTAGCGTGGGGTCTGCGGTGCATTTTTCATTCTGCTGTCACGCGGGTTTTTTTGAAAAGTCAACCCTGCCCCCCCTCCTCCATCTTCCAGATCGAAAAGAGAAAATGAGTATGTCCATTATAAACAGGTCCTTCTTTCAAGTCGGCTCTTGGGGGTGGGGGATGGTCCAGTCTTCTGTCTCCATCTTAACATGTGTTAGGACTGAAGTTGCATCTAGTAATTCCATTTACTTTCATTCATATATATGATAACATACCTAAATTTTGTAGGTAGCAAACTGTCCCCCCAGACTGAATGTAGTCCATAGTAATCCACACTCTTGTGATCTATCCACCCACTTGTGATCTAAGGCAGGGTTCAGCAAATCCCAGGTGCCACCATGCCTAGAAATTTCATTTTGGCACCTGGCATTTTCAATAGTAATTTATTGCAAGTGCCTCTCCGAGATTCTCAGTAGAAGTATGACGTTTGTTTCGGTGAGGAACAGAGGTTACCTTTTTGTTGTGATGACAACCAGGATTACCCCATATTTATTTATGTGCTTTGACACTTTTGCTACAGCTTTTTTTAAAAAAAAATGACAAGAAACGTTTTAAAAATGACAAGAAATGGTGAAGAGATTACGGTTCGGTTTTAATGGGTCATTAAAATATAAATATTGAGCTGCGGTGGCTCAAGTGGTTAAGACACTGAACTGCAGGCTGTGGAAGGTCGGTAGTTCAGCAGTTTGAGACCCGGGTGCCGCATGACGGAGTGAGCTCCCGTCTCTAGTTCCAGCTCCTGCCAACCTAGCAGTTCGAAAGCAAGAAATTGCAAGTAGATAAATAGGGACCATTTCGGTGGGAATGTAACAGCATTCCGTGCGCCTTGGTGTTTAGTCATGCTGGCCACATGACCACGGAAATGTCTTTGGACAGCGTTGGCTCTTCGGCTTTGAAACGGAGATGAGCACTGCAACCCTAGAGTCAGATTCGACTGGCTTTCGAGCAAGGGAACCTTTACCTTTACCTTTTTAAAATATAAAAGCCTGAAGGCTGAAAAATAAGTTTGGCTCCTAAATTTTTCAGTTGGCTGAATAAGCAAAAGAAAATTTGTCAGGGCCTGATGTAAGTTTATTCCCAATAATATCCCTTAAGATCAGCTGCTGTATAAAGTCTAAGTTGACTGTGTGGGTTTATTATTGAAGAAAAAGTTTTAAAGATGAAGCCAATTTCAATAAATTGTCATAGAAAACAGCATCTCCCCTTTTTAGTTCGGGAGATGGAGCAGTAGGGTGCTGTTTCTTGTAACTGTATTATATTTTCATATCAATGTTAGGAAAACGCTATAACTGTCTATGATGATGGAGTAACTATTTCTGTATGTTTCCAAAGAATACCCAATCGTAATATTTCTTTATCTCTGCTGTTTTTCCTAATGTGACCTAGGCACCCAGATTGATTTAAATGTAAAAAGTACTGCATCTTGTTATTGGGTGTGTTGAGCTTATTATGCACTCTTTTAGTGGTTTAGTGAGTCTCAAGCAGGTCTTTCCCCAGTTTTGTTACCTGAGATGCTTTCCATGAAGCAGAGGTATTGCATGCATGCTTTCGCTGAGCTGTGGTTCCTGTCCCAAACGTATGGGTCCTTACTGCCCCTGCTTGATTGGGGGGCAGGATTTGAACCCATGGCCTGATGGGCTCAGGTTGAAGTAAATAAACCAAAGTATTTGTTACATACAGGCAGGCTTCTATTGTCTATAGACAGAATCCCAGGACACAAACTTTAAGGAAATCACTGTGGCTCACTCATTCTGCCATACTGGCTGCCTTCATCCTACTTATGTCTTCCCATCAGCTGTGGTAGCTGCACATGAAGTGGTCCACTTATGTTTATTTTTGGATTTTCTACATATTTTGATTCCAGTGCCTCTGTTCTAAATGGGTTTTCTGCTTACATTTCTCTGCATATATTACATTGGCTGTTCACTTTAGTAATATGTGTATCTTAATTGTTTGTTACCCTATGCTGCAGCCCGGAGGTGCATATCAGATCTCAGAAAACCTTTGCTTAACATGGAAGAATGTTTTTCTTACAGTTTTAACTTAGTGTCTTTAAAAAATCTATTCAATATTAATCTTTTCCCTCTGTATTCCCCATAATGTGGCATCTTTGTTTTATACCATCATTCATAGGTCTATCTGAGCCCCTCTGTTTTTCTCTGTTTGCTCCATCATGCCCTGTTTTTCACCTGTCTTTGCACCCTATGGCAAGCACTCTCTTCTCTTGTTGCACTGTCACTGGTCCGCACAACTGTCTTTCAGCTACCGCCAGTCAGGCTTCTATGCTCCCTCATTGCACTTGCAGGTTCTTCTCTGTTCCCCACTACTGGTGTCCTGTACCCACAACTTAACCCCCTTTTTATCTTTCCACTTCCAGCAGGTCTATTTGCATGTCCACTTGCCAGTTTTTCCTAGTCCCTGTAGGATTTTCTGCTAATTCTGTTCTTTTTTCCTTTCTTCCTCCACCCCAGATTTCTCTGGCTTTGCACAGATTTGGTGCCTGTAATATATATTGCTCCTGGCAGTTCATCCAAAGGGAGTCTTGTACAGATGGGAGCTCGTTGGTGTGGTTGGTTGGCTGAAAAACTGGGCCCAGCTTTGCCAGGAGGCTCTGACTCTGAGGAGTAGAGGATCAGTGCAGACCTAGTAATGTGGGTGTTCTCCCACACTCACTTTTGATGGGTTTGGGCAGAAGTTAGATTGTCACAAGAAATGGGTAGGGACTGGAAGCAATGGGTATTTGAAACTCTGCACAGAACAGTTACCTATTTTAGACTGAACGTTTCTCCATTGGAGAGGAAAATGCTGTTTTTAACATAATAAAATTCTTGGCTGCAATCCACTACTTATATTCTTGAGAGTAAGTCCCACTGAACTCAGGGAAACGTCAGTAAACATGCAGTGGATTGGGCTATCTGCTCTTCCAAATTGATTATATGGATATAATTTGTAAAATAAGATATTGAAAAGTAGCCCTAATTCTGGGGACACTTGAATCCGTATATTAAAAAACAATACCACTGATGCACCTTTCAGGCATGAGGCTGAGTAAATAATGAATTCTACTCCTTGACTTGAAGTCTGGCTCCAGCAAGCCAACTGGGAAATTGAATGCCGGCGTCTGGGTCCTTCACAGAAAATTTTCTGTTCCCACAGGTTTATAGCAAACGGCTGTAATTGAGAGCAGGGGTTTATATCCGCTATCACGATGATGCATGGGAAGCATGGTGATTTCACAGTTGTCAAGCCACAAATCATTCTGTGATAAAAGAGTAGTTGAGAAAAGTTGATTTCTAGGCTGGTGTCACTTACAGATCTTACTTTTATTCCCTCTTGTATGTGACTGAGTGCCATATCTAACAATGCAGCATAGAATGCTATTTCTCATGGCTCATGTATTTTACAATGAAAAATACATGCATGTGCGCTATATTTTATTGGATATGAATTGATTCTGTACACAGATATGTGTACCAGACATTGATTCCTTATTTGGTAAATCATGTCTGCAGTATCCTTTCCAGACAGTATTGTGTGCTTTTTAGCACTCATTATTGTGTGTATAATATTATCGCCCCTTAAAAGCTGGCTGTACTCTAGTGATGACTGCCAAGTCACCTCTGCATACATGACTGTTTTTCCCTGTTTGAATGTAATAGTGTCAAGGCTTCTGGCACAATAACTTTCCTCTCCCCTTTTTAGGACTATGCGAAGGAAAGATACGGTCTATTGCCGATGATACAGTCTCAGGAGAAACCAGGTCAGTTTCAAAATTCTGAAAAGCCCACAGAAGCCTGTTGGGTTGTAAGTACCATGATATGCAAGATAGCACCAATTATTGCATTGGTTTGTATATAAAGATACCATTTCTAGCTCCAGAGGAGCCAGTCTGTCTGAGGAAAAAAGTAAGAGATTGTTCACTTCAGGCTCATGGTTTGCTGAAGATTGTGGGACTGTAACCAGATTCTCACACATGAGAGAAATTCCGTTCTTTGACTCTTAACTTAGACAAGAGAAGAAGGCTTGGCACGTTTCAAGGTGAAAATTAGAGAGGTGTCTTTCTTTTTAATACTTGAGAGGAATAACTAGTTTACCAGTTAGTCTCTGACCATGTGTGCTGCTTGTTTATCTGTATTACCCGTGGCCTAATGTATGCAACATTATTAAGATGGCTACACGTTCACACCAGTAACTTCAATCCAGTAGTTTTCACTTCATGTTCAAACCAATATACAAGGTTTTTAAAATAAATTATTTATTTTCCATTTTATTGTTGTACTCAATTATACAGAAGTTCAGCAAAACAAATATCTTAATGCATAGTCAAAAAAGCCCTCAATCATCAACGCTAAGAATCAAGGGTACCTCACATTAATAATTTATTAGTTGAGTCTTTAACTAAACTCCAAAATTGGCTGTTTCTCCTCATTTCCTCCAAGGTGTATTCTGTTCCAGTAGTTTAAGAAGCATTCCCAGCAACCTATAAATTCATGTTGAGCAACTCTCCTTCCATCTCATAACCTTTTATAAATCATAATATTTTTTTCCCCATGTTCATGACAAATGAAACCTTCAAGAGCCATACCTTTACTCCTGGTATTTTAACTTGCTATCAGTATCCTAGCTGCAGCTATAGCTACTGATCATCTATGGGTCTTTCAAATCCCTCTTGTGAATCAGTTTAGGAGAGCAATCTCAGTCTTATATGGTAATCTAGATTTTTAAAAAACTTCCACTATAATAAATATACATTACCAGTAGAAATGTGAAGGCCTAGAAAAAAACTGGGTTTTTTTCCCCCGAGCCCCCCCCCCCCCCCCCCCCCCAAGGAGCACTGAAAAAAAATTCCTGTGGAATAATTTCTCTTTTAGAAAGACTGAAATGCTTTTAAAGGTAAGATGGGCATGCTGTAGACATATAATATTCTTAAATCCAAGATGCAGTTCTGCACTTAGAAGGCTCCCTAATCTTCTTGAGGGGAGCTTTGCAGGGCTTTCATTGCTTCTCAGCAGTAGGAGTGGGCATGAACCAATAAACGATAAAGTGTATAGGCAGTTGTTGATTTTGCCATTTGCATGTTGGCACCCGCAGAAGCCCCTGTTGAAATGAACAAGGTTGTTGTGATGGAACATAGAGAGGTGGTCATGCAAATAAGAGAGGCCGAGGCCATGAATGGCTTTGTATGTCATATCTATTTCCTTAAATGAAGCCCGGTAACAAGTGGGCAGCCAATGAAGTGTCTGCAGAATTGGAGTAATATGCATATTCTGTCTAGCTCTTGCTAATAGTTGAGCCATGGCATTCTGGACCACTTAGAGTTTCCGAGTTGATTTTGAGGGGAGACCAATGTACAGTGCATTACCGTAGTCTAGTCTTGATGTTACTGTGGTGTTGATCCAGGTGGCAGGTCAGCCATATCAATGTAAGGCACCACCTTACAGGGTATGCTGAAGTGGTAGAGAACTTTTTTTTGCACCTGCATTAACTTGCTTCTCCAGTAATAAAGCTGGATCCAGTATACTGCCAGGACTTTTAGCTGAGTCAGCAAAGGTCAGTTGAACTCCATCAAAGGTGGGGAGAACAAAGTCCTTCAAGACGTTCACCTTCCCAACCAGCATTATCTCTGTCTTATCAGCGTTTAGTTTCAATGTGTTCACTTTTAGCCAGTTAACCACAGCAGCCAGGCAGCAATTCAGGACCTCTACTGCATCACCAGCAGATTTAGATAAGGACATACAGAGCTGAGTGTAATCAGCATATTGATGACAAGTGACTCCAAAACTATGAATGATTTGAATTAAGAGTTTTACATGGAGATAGAACTGCACTCTGTGGAACCACACAAGATAGTTCCCATGCTGATGACAACTGATTTCCCATAGCAACCCTTTGAGTCTGGTCCATGAGGAATGATGTGGAATGATTTGAATCAGGTCAGCACATATCCCTTGATAAACTATTTCTGCCTCCAAGCCCCTCAAGAAGATTTCATGATCTCCTGTATCAAAGGCTGCATATAAATTTAATAAGCGAAACAGAGAGGCTTGGCCTCTGTCTACATGCAGATGGAGGTCATCAGCTAGAGCCAGCAGAGCCATCTCTGTCCCATAGCCTGGCCTGAAGCCAGACTGAAAAGGTTCTAGAGCAGAACCTAGAGTTATCCAAGAAGACTTGGGGTCGATTCACTACTGACAAAGGCGGAGCCACGGTGGTGCGAGCGCAGGACGGCGCAGCACGGCAGGAGCCGGAAGGACGCAAGCCGGAAGCTGCAGCCAGAGGGCGGTCGCACACGAAGGAAAAACATCGAGCCGCCTGAGGTGGTGCCAGTCAGCCGAGGACGCCAGCATACCCCGCCGGAAAAGAAGAGAGAACGCACTGCCAACAAGGGTGTCGGTAGGGAAGTCCCCCCCCCCTAAAAATCTGTGGCCCTAGGTAGGTTAACTACTGCGACTATACCAGTAGCAGTACATTGTAAACCGCTCTGAGACCCATTAGGGGTCATGGGTGGTATATAAATGCAATGTAAATAAATAAATAAATACTGATCTCTCAGTCACATTGCCCAGAAAGGGTACATTAGAGACTGGGTGATAATTGGCCACATCATTCATCTGTAGGGATGTTTTTTTTAAGCGGTGGATGGATAAGTGCCTCTTTGAGTTGTCCTGAGTTAATGACTCTTTCATAACAGGCACAGAAGGTTTGGGATGGGCAAGGATCCAGGGTATAAGTAGCGGCCTTCACAGATCTCAAGATCTTGTCCATGTTCATCACAGAAACTGAGTCAAAATTATCCATAAATAGCCCAGGCAGTGTATTAGGCCTTTCTTCTGGAGTACCTATGTTACAACTGATATCCAGATCAGAGCATATCCTCAATATTTTATCAGCAAAAAACTTGGCAAAAGTGTTACACCTAATTGTCTTTTCCTGGAACATTAGAGATTCAGATTTAGGCATCAGTAGATGCTGAGCTACCTTAGAGAACTTGGATGAAAGTGAACCAGTTAATTCTGTAATAGTAGAGAAGTAACCTTTCTTTGCTTCTGTCACCACTGCTTCATAGGTCTTACAATAAGTTCTATAGCATGATCTGTCAGATTCAGTATGATTTCTCCAGCAGTGCCTTTCTAGACGTCTCCCAACCCTTTTCAGATCACTCAGCTTCATGGCAAACTAGGGAGCTGGATTTCATCCAAAGGGCGGGAGAGGTAGACGAGGGGCAACCTTGTCGACAGCTTCAAGGGCCTTCATGTTTCCACTGTGGCTTCAACAGAACACATGTTTTGAATCTTAAAATCCCCTAGAGCATTGTGGAATCTTGTAGGATTCATGAGCCTCCATGGGCATATCATTTTAACTGAGCCCTCTCTCATGCAGGGGTGGCAGACCCACATACACATTGGTTTTAAGTAGTGGTGGTCAGACCATGGTTCAGGACGAATCTCCAGCCCTGAAACCAAACCTACCCTCAAAAGATTAAGTCCAAGGCATGACTTCTTTCACGTGTTGGGCTAGTCACAATTTGGGAGAGATCCAGAGCAGTCAAAAAAGCTATAAAATCCTGGGCCAGTCCCAACAAAGTATCATCAGCATGTATGTTGAAGTTCCCCAGAACAATCAATCTAGGAGTCTCTAGCACCACAACCAACAGTACCTTCCATAAATATGTCAAATATTGCAGTTTTATAGGCTAAGTTGTAAGTGATGCATTTTGTTAAAGCCATAAAATTAGTTTGTTTGATAGAACAGTAAATATTGCATATATTTCAATTTCCCCCAAAATTTCATTTTTTGTCAAAAACAAGGAAACTTTTTTATCTGCGAACTCAAAATTTCCAGAAATTTTACATCTCTGCTTACCAGTAATTTTTAATTTCTGGACAAAGCCACCAGATATGTAGAAAGGTTCCAACATTTCCTTTATGGCATCAATACTTCCTAGAGATTGTTGGAAACATATTTGCCAACCAGCAGGGGTTAATTATCACCTATAAATAACTTCTGATTCTCTCTTAGACCAACATTGGCTGAGAACCTCAAGGGTTCTTTGAAAAAGACTTGCCCAGATTTCTTCCGGGATAGGTACTACAAGGTCTTTTCCCCATTTGTCTCTGTAAGATAAAACGTTTTCCATACACACT